AAAGGCATTAATAACACCCATCCACAAAAAAAATTCAAAAACCAATATCGATAATTATCGCCCCATAGCATTACTCCCCACAATCTCAAAAGTTTTCGAAAAAGCAATGTTCGAACGTGTGTATAATTTCTGCGAGAAATATAAAATTTTTAGTGAATGTCAGAACGGCTTTCGTAAAAATCGGTCCACCGCACTAGCAGTATATAAATATATTCAAGATATTTTAAAGATATTAAGCAATAAAGAATATGCAATAGGAATACTATTAGATATGAGCAAAGCAAACGATAAGGTGCAATATAACATATTGATTAATAAATTAAATAGTATAGGTATTCGTGGGATTACTTTGGAATGGTTCAAATCATACTTGCAAGATAGAGAACAATATGTAGAAATAGAATACTTTGATAATAATAATATAGTGATAATAATAATAATAGTATAGTAATGAATACCTGAATGACAAATATGAATAATTATGGACTAATAAATGATATAATAATAATGAATGATATAATAATAATAATGAATTATAAAACATCTATGCGCCCTCCTCTGTTCTAATTTTCTAATTTGCTATACCCAACAGGGTCCATATTGTGATAATTTAATTTATTAATTTGTACATTATGGAATGCAAATAAATATTGAGTATTGAGTATTGAGTAAAGTAAACATTATTTTTATTATTATTATTCAAGAAATAAATATTAGCTTTTAATAAAAATAAAATACTCACCACAAAGAACTAAAAAGAATAAAATTATTTTACATTCTGAAGTCGGTGCTAAAATATTATATAGTGCATTGAGAAATGAGATCATAATATTGTGTTTTAATCTTACTTTGAAAGCAGATTTCACTTCTCATTAAAATTTATTTTTCAACCCTTTTGAGTAGACTAAGGCACTAACTAAAATGTCGTGTAGGTAGCTTCATTATAATATTCATTACCAATTTTTCTACCTTTAGAAATTGAATATATACATTCATTATTTCTTCTAACTTCAGAATGTACAAATATTTTATACTTTAAATTTTTTTGAAATCTCAATGTCTTCGAGTTACATTAAAAACTTCATCCCCTATTTTGCTACCCGTGTGGAATAAATGCTTTCTCCAAATTTACCCGTGGAGAATAATCACCCATTTAATATTAAAATCATTCTTAAAATTAGTTCGAAGTTGACGAAGATATTGCGTAGAAAACATAAAATCATACCAACAGCTAAATAGAGAATCTACTTTATTGAAGATGGCTAGAATTTAAGCTATTGTGTTTCGAGTGTACCGAGAACGACGGTGGTGTGGGCGCATATGATTCGATATGGAAAACTTTCACATCAATACGAGTATGTCATCGACAGTCTAGTCCTCAGTTGAACAAAAAGGCACAGAAATCCAATGTGAAATAGCAGCATAATGCTGCTGTGTTTGGCGGTGGAAGTGAAAAGAGAGACTCTTTTTTACTGGATCGGTTTTTTTACACTCACCATGGAAACAGCATTAAGCTACTTCTTTACGCTGGTATTCTGTGAGAGCGTGGGTGTTCCTCGGTTGTCTCGACCACTCGTGATACAACCATAATACTAAGATAGAATGCCTTGTTTCCAGTAAAAAGGTCACCGATTTTCTACACTCACCTTAAGTTAAAGTGTATGCTAATCATCCGGAAACAATTCAACAACTTAGGCCCGCTACATACATACGGAATTACGTTTTGGGATTCCGTTTCAATATTCCGATTCGGAATTCCGAACGCAACAAGTCCATATAAAATCTATGACCCGTCACACACATACGGTACTTTTCCGTTCGAAATTTTGCGAGCAAAGCGGGATTCCGTATGTGTGTGACCAATCCGAAGACCACTCCAAACTGAAATTGAGGACATTGATCCGCTTTTATTGGAAAAAGTCATCGAAAAATTTATGTTCGGATGTAGGTATGTATATGAAGCCGTAGTGGGGACATGAACGATATTGTTTTTCACACATAAATAACATAGAACTACCTTTCATATCAATCAAAAATAACTTTTCATCTCTAAATGTGTGTTTTATTTACAAATAAAAAAGGACTAACAGATGGCCCACCCTATACTTGTGAATACAGTGAGTTGTAAAATTTTACAGTATGTATCATGTCTACAACAGAGTGGTGTTAAGATTTTAAGATTGAAAGAATTAAACCGTTTTTGATTTTGCTCTCGTTTTGCTTTAGAGGATCCAACATCTTGTCCCTCGAGCATAAAAATATCTTAAAAAACCCGAACAAGCAAGGCAGCGCGATGTTGCGAAATTGCGACTAAAATTACGACAAAAGATTGTTTTTTCTCAAATTGAATTCTATTGTTTTTAGAAGATCTTATATCTATTGAAGGAAAGTAAATAATCTAGAAAATTTGGTGTTAGTAGTTGTTAATGCTTACCTATTTTTTTTTATTAATGATTACCAAATGTGTAAAAAAATATATTATGAAAACTAAGGAACCTGTGTGTAGCGATCCGAATATATTTACTTATATAATGTACAAATGTATATAAAAAATGAGCATATCCGCAGTGAAACCAAAGTAACCGACATAGTCCAACGGATTAGTAATCTGAAGTAGCAATGGCCCAGCCATTTAGCTCGACGAACCGACAACCGATGGGAAAGATATGTTCTCGAGTGGCAGCCTCGTACAGGTAGGCTAAGTGTAGGGCCTGACACTAGATGTAGTGACTACCTGGTAAGACATGCAAGACGTCGATGGATGCAGGTGGTTCAGGACCGTGCTTTGTGGCGTTCCTTGCGGGAGGCCTGTGTTCAGCTGTGGACGTGTGAAGACTGCCTTAAAAGGAATAGATAGAATTATGAGAAAAGTCTACATAAGTAAGAAATAAGAACGTAAGTGGACTTATGATAAGCTGTAAATGAAAAGAAATTCTGACAGGTGTATTTTTTTCAAGTCGGCTTAAAAATAATTCCAATTTTCCGGAAATATCACGAGAGCACAATGTTTTCCCTGTATCAGTTTATTTATTGCAATGTACTGACACTTTCATTACAGTGGCCATTTACTTTGCCAATTTCCTTAGCTTTTGTTTCTTAGAATTTAAATATTTTGTATTAAATGGTATTCTTCTTTATTTTAAATATGGTAAAATAAAATAGCTTAATTTCTTAATTAATATATAAATGCCGTGTAGTGGCGGTGAAGAATATCCACTACCCCATATTTTCCCGTGAGTGTCGTAAAAGGAGAAAAAGGGAAACAGGCGGGAGATGGGCAGCAGCATCTTCCTGATAATAGCAATAATACAATAAAAATACTGCGGTTGCCAAGCCGCTCGCCAAGCGTGGCAACTATGGCAAATACCCCCCTATGAATGACAGTAACAAAGATACGGCCCCCAGTCCCCGGCGGCCCCGCTATTCCTGGCTACGGTGGCGACCATGGTAACGGCTGGGCAGGGGGTGCTAAGAATCTCCGGTGGAGTTTCGGTGGCCACCTAAGACGACTGGACCTGGCAACATACAACGCACGCACCCTGAGGACTGACGAGAAGATTGTGGAGCTGGAAGAAGAGATAGACTAGTTACGCTGGCATATTATAGGATTATCTTAAGTCCGAAGAGAGGGGGAGGACACGGTAATACTCGATTCCGGCAACTTGCTCTATCACCGGGAGGGCGAACATCTGTCCCAAGGAGGTGTTGGATTTATGGTCCACAAGTCTCTCGTTAACAACGTTGTAAAGATCTAGAGTGTGTCGACGAGGGTTGCGTACCTTATACTCATAATCACCAAACGGTATTCGCTGAAGGTCATACAGGTTTACGCACCAAACTCAAGACACCACGATGAGGAGGTGGAGGAAATGTATGAGGATATCTCTAGAGCCATGCATTCCTCCAAAACCCAATATACGGTGTTAATGGGAGACATCACTGTAAAACTAGGCAAAAGAGAGAACTGTAAGCTGAAAGTAGGGAAATTCGGAATAGGGCAACGGAACCCAAGAAGCCAGCAGCTGGCCGAATTCATGGAGAAAGAGGGACTCTTTATGATGAACTCTTTCTTCCAGAAGCGGCCCCACAGGAAGTGGACCTGGTCGAGCCCCGACGGTTCGACAAAAAATGAGATTGAGTTCATTATGACGACCAGACGACAACTGTTCAGTGTTGTCTCCGTGATCACGAGGGTGAAAACTGGTAGCGATCACCGACTGGTAAGAGGCACACTGAACCTAAACTTTAAGTTGGAGAACTTTCGTCTAATGAAGTCATCGTTCCGTCCCCCTCGTGCTCGCCTCGTTCCAAAATCCCGAAACCTTTCAGCTCGAGTTAAAAATCCGTTTTCAGTGCCTAGAAGACTGCAATGAAGTGGACGATTTGAATGATAAGCTCGTCGAAACTGTCCATGCGGTCGGAGCTAAGTTCTGCAAGACCCGCCGCAGAATAACACAAAAACTCTCCCGATCACACTCTTAATCTTATGGCTGTTAGACGGGAAATGAAGCTACATTCTTCATCAGATTTGACAGCAACTAAGGGCAACTGAACAGACAGATCCCCAAATGCATGCGGCGGGAATAACGCAACTTCAATACAGCTTATATTGAAGAAGCGATCGAGCGGAACCAAGGCTCCAAAGTCTTTGCCAGAGGTCTGCTGCCAGAAAGAGCCAACTGTAAAAGCTGAGGACCGAGTGCGGCAGCATCGTTTCCGGGGCACCTGAGATTTTGAGTGAGCCACACGCAAGTGTGAGTAACGATCCAAGAGCGAGTCTTATCCGACACTATTCCGATGATATCCCGGACGTTAGTCTGAGCGAGATTAGAATGACTCTCCAGCACCTTAAAAACAGCAAGGCACTAGGCGAGGATGGAATTACAGCGGAGTTTCTGAAAGCGGGTGGAAAACCGGTACTTGAAGTCCTTCAGAAGCTCTTGAATTCCGTCCTCCATGGTGGCATTACACCGGAAGCGTAGAGCAGAAGTACGGCGGTCTTGTTCTTCAAGAAAGGCGACAACGCACTCTTGAAGAACTACAGACCGATTTCCCTCCTGAGCCGCGTCTACGTGCTGTTTTCGAGAGTCATTATGAATCGTCTCGCGCGCGGACTTGACGACTTCCAGCCTCCCGAACAAGCCGGTTTCCGAAAGGGCTTTTGGCACCACAATACATACCCTTCGGCACGTTGTACAGAAGTCCGAGGAGTACAATTTGCCAATATGTCTAGCGTATGTAAACTATGAGAAAGCCTTTGATTCCGTCAAAATTTGGGCGGTGCTGCAGTCCCTTCAGTGGTGCCAAGTTGACTGTCGGTATTTCGAAGTGCTGACGTACTTGTACAGTAGAGCTACGATGGCTATCCGAGTACAGAACCAGAATACGAAACCTATCTTACTGCATAGAGGTGTAAGACAGGATGATGTTATATCCCCGAAACTCTTCACCGCTTCTGCAGAAGACGTTTTCAAGCTTCTGGACTGGAAATGATACGGTATTAACATCAATGGCGAGTACATCACTCACCTTCGATTTGCCGACGATATAGTCCTTATGGCAGAGTCTCTGGAGGAACTAAGCACCATGCTCAATGACCTCAATAGTGTCTCCCAACGGATAGGTCTTAAGATGAACATGGACAAAACAAAATCATGTTTAAGGTCCATGTCACACCTATGCCGGTATTTGTTGGGAGCACTAAGCTCGAAGTTGTTGAGAAGTATGTTTACCTGGGACAAATAGTCCGACTAGGTAAGTCCAACTTCGACCGATTGGTCAATCGACGGATTCAACTCGGTTGGGCAGCGTTCGGGAAACTACGACACATCTTCTCGTCAGACATACCTTAAAACCTTAAAACGAAATTGTACAACCAGTGCGTGTTGCCAGTGATGATTTACGGATCAGAGACGTGGTACTTCACTGCTGGCCGTATGAGGAAGCTCAAGGTTGCTCAGCGAGCTATGGAGAGGGCAATGCTCGGAGTTTCTCTGCGTGATAAACTTAGAAATGAGGATATCCGCAGTACAACCAGAGTAACTGACATATCCCAACGGATTAGTAAGCTGAAGTGGCAGTGGGCTGGCCATATAGCTTGAAGCACCGACAACCGACGGGGAAGAAATTTTCTCGAGTGGCAGCCTCGTACCGGTAGACGAAGTGTAGAGCGACCCCCCACGAGATGGAGTGACGACCTGGTTAGACACGCGGGAAGTCGACAGATGCAGGTGGCTCAGGACCGTGCTTTGTGGCATTCCTTGGGGGAGGCATTTGTTCAGCAATGGACTTATGAAAGGCTGTAATGGTGATGATGATGAAAATAAATTAACTTATACTTTCGTTTATCGTGTATTGGCGGCCTACAATAATCAACCTCCTCATTTCCTCTCATAGACGCACTTATGTGTATTATGCGGGCGTAACGAATCTGTGAAGGGCATCTGCAGCAAAGCTGCTCACTTCTGATAACAGTAATAGCAATATCCTCCAGATCTAATTTCGGTCACGACGGCCAGTCTCAACGGAGACTGGCCTTCTTCGCAAGACAAGATTACAGAGCCCGAGTGTATGCGCAAGCATAAGTACACTCTATATTCCTTACTCTCATAATCTGATCGGACGGTTATCTGACATGACCGGACTGTGATCAGACGCAGGACCTATTGAGAAAAGTGTACTGATAATTTCTTGTCGGAATAATCCAATAAATAATTTTGGCCTGAATCGGGATTCAAACCCAATACCTCATGATTAGCACCACGTTCACGACCGCTAGACCAACGGGGCATAGAGTAACGTTAGTCAATCCGCCCACTTGGTATGACTAATATGACAAACTTCGCTGACGTTCTTAATCACACAAGGAATATGAACAATAAAACCTAACTATTAAAATTTACTTATGATGACACCGCTCCTCGGTGACACTCCGTTTCTATATAGTTAATCTGAAGATGGGATGTCATCAATGTGATATCATAAGGATACTGACAAATATACTAATATCTAAGTTACATTTTTAACCGTATTACCAATGCCGGTTGTAATATATGGAGGTTTGTAATTATTATCACCATTTTGTAACTTTACGAAGATATTACTCTGTAAGCCTTCCTAAAATGAATAAATGGATATTTTACTACTGTGTACTAATGACAAGTGTAAAAACAGAAAGACAAGTTTCACATGCTGAGTATAGATATAGAGAGCCGGATACATTTTTCATTGGAAACGTCACATTCTATGCTATTAAAAGTGGAAGCTTATATAATATATTTTTATTAATCATAAAATTAATATATTAATACCTTAAAACGCAGCCTTTTGCAGAGTCGCATTCTCTCCTGAATGCGGTTGCGGTGAATGCCGTTTATCTGTAATCTAAATATATCTTGATGGAAGGAAATGATACCGGCAGTGTGATGAACAAACGCAATAAAAATAGACTATAATTAAACAGGGGGTTTAATATTAATATAATATTTATGAAGAAGTAATTTTAACACATTTTATGTTTTATTGTAATATATTTAGAGCCGTGGTAGCTCAGCTTCTCTTGCGCGGTATTTCATAGTACGCTAACAACCCGGAATCAAACCGTTTCTGTCTTTTAATAGCAATTTTAAGTGCACATTTACCACTTACTCGGCGGTGAAGACCGCAGTTACCGTGTAGTGGTGCTGTAGGAATATCCACTACCCCATATCATTCCGTAGATGTCGTAATATGCTAACAATGCTAAACCCCAATTAGTTCTCTTGACTTTCGATAGATGGCGGTGTAATCAACAATAGTCTACATAGATACTGTTACCATTATTTTTGTTTAAAATTGATTGCAGAATGTCCTTATTATTTTGATTTTAGTTTGTATAAGTTCGTTCATCAATTTATTTTTTATGAAATAGTTTATAACACGCTTATGTTAGTTTCGCGTGTATTCAACGGATATGTTTCTGTCTATCTATAATAACAGTTATATTATATTAATAACCATTTATTTTTCACCACATTAAATTAAGAATTTCGACATTTTTGACAAAAAATGGATACAAAGCAATGTGAGAGACTGATGCCTAAACTAGGCGACGATCCTGTGTTTCAAGTCATCAGGTCTCCGTCCAAGTTGACAAATACAAAAATGTGTAAGTTTGGAATACATTCTTAATTATCTATGTAACGGAATCTTTTAAAGTAATTTTCACTAATTTGTAGACGGAATTTTCAAGTCAATCGAAAATTATCACTCGTATCAAGGACACCGTAGCCAGGAATCGACCAGGCAACATACAACGCACGCACCCTGAGGACTGACGAGAAGATTGTGGAGCTGGAAGAAGAGATAGACAAGTTACGCTGGCATATTATAGGATTATCTGAAGTCCGAAGAGAGGGGGAGGACACGGTAATCCTCGAATCCGGCAACTTGCTTTATTACCGGGAGGGCGACCATCTGTCCCAAGGAGGTGTCGGATTTATCGTCCACAAGTCTCTCGTTAACAACGTTGTAATATTGAGTGTGTGTCGACGAGGGTTGCGTACCTTATACTCAGAATCACCAAACGGTATTCGCTGAAGGTCATACAGGTTTACGCACCAACCTCGGCACACCCCGATCAGGAGGTGGAGGAAATGTATGAGGATATCTCTAGAGCCATGTATTCCTCCAAAACCCACTATACGGTGTTAATGTGAGACTTCAATGCAACTAACTAGACACAACAGAGAAGGGTGAGCTGAAAGTGGGGAAATTTGGAATAGGGCAACGGAACCCAAGGGGCCAGCAGCTGGCCGACTTCATGGAGAAAGAGGGACTCTTTATTATGAACTCTTTCTTCCAGAAGCGGCCCCACAGGAAGTGGACCTGGTTAAGCCCCGACGGTTCGACAAAAAATGAGATTGATCTCATTATGACGACCAGACGACAACTGTTCAGTGATGTCTCAGTAATCGCGAGGGTGAAAACCGGCAGCAATCACCGAATGGTTAGAGGCACACTGAACCTAAACGTTAATTTGGAGAGGTCTCGTCTAATGAAGTCAACGCTCCGTCCCCCTCGTGCTTTAATCCAGAGTCCCGAAATCTTTCAGCTCGAGTTACAAAACCGTTTTCAGTGCCTAGAAGACTGCAATGAAGTGGACGATTTGAATGACAAGTTCGTGGAAACTGTCCATGCGGTCGGAGCTAAGTTCTGCAAGACCCGCCGCAGAAGAACACAAAAACTCTCCGATCACACTCTTAATCTCATGGCTGTTAGACGGGAGATGAAGCTACATTCTTCAACAGATTAGACAGCATACAGGCAACTGAACAGACAGATCTGCAAATGCATGCGGCGGGACTTACGCAACTTCAATACAGCTCGTATTGAAGAAGCGATCGAGCAGAAACAAGGCTCCAAAGTCTTTGCCAGAGATCTGTCTGCCAGAAAGAGCCAACTGTCAAAGCTGAAGACAGAATGAGGCAGCATCGTTTCCAGGGCACCTGAGATTTTGAGTGAGATTAAAAAATTCTACGGACAGCTGTACCCGTCATCGTTGGAGCCGCACGCAAGTGTGAGTAGCGATCCAAGAGCGAGTCTTATCCGACATTATCCCGATGATATCCCGGACGTCAGTCTGAGCGTAATTATAATGGCTCTCCAGCACCTTAAAAACGGCAAGGCCCCAGGCAAGGATGGCATTACAGCGAAGCTTCTGAAAACGGGTGGAAAACCGTACTTGAGGTCCTTCAAAAGCTCTTTAATTCCGTCCTCCATTGTGGCATTACACCGGAGGCGTGGAGCAGAAGTGCGGTGGTCTTGTTCTTCAAGAAAGGCGACAACGCTCTCTTGAAGAACTGTAGACCGATTTCCCTTCTGAGCCGCGTCTATGTGCCGGTTTCCGAAAAGGCTTTAGCGCCATAGACCACATACATACCCTTCGGCAAATTGTACAGAAGTCCGAGGAGTACAATTTGCCACTATGTCTGGCGTATGTGGACTATGAGAAAGCCTTTGATTCCGTCGAAATTTGGGCGGTGCTGCAGTCCCTTCAGCGATGCCAAGTTGACTGTCGGTATATCGAAGTGTTGAAGTGCTTGTACAGTAGGGCTACGATG